GTTCGAACTCATCCGAGCTATCAATTAGATAAGCATCCTGACAAAGTTTGATGATGATTGAGGCAAAAATGTGACCGCTAGAGTGTTAACGAACAAGTGTGGACGGACGACGGACATTCAACGATCCTAAAAATCATAGGGATCTTTATAAAGCTGCATGGCACCAGATAAGCCAAAATAGTTAAAGGAAATCAAACTTGAGAAAATATACGAAATTTTATTAAAGAAAAGTAAAATATTCAAGATTCGAGTAATAATTCACATGTTATGTGCGAGTAATGAATGATTTTGCAGTATTTATCACCATATTTATACTGCGTTACTAACGCAGTACACGGAAAAAAATGTGAAGAAGACAATGACGCACAAAAAAAAAACAAAAATCGTACTATAAAATAAAGACAGAAAACTAATAATTATCCTCATGGTGAAAGGCAACGTCCTTGTTGTTTTCAAAAGTCTACTAGTGTCTAGGTACTCACTGTTGTGCCTGTTTTTATGTTGTCAAAGTTGAATCTTATTTGTAATTTTTCGGCATTACTCTTCCTTGGCTGGACGGACTCGAACCTTGAAAGGTAACTCATTATGCTTAGGTGGTCTATGTTTGGATCTGTTAACTCTTTGGCCGATATAAGAGGTTCGACTCCTAGTTCTTTAGCACCTTCAATGCCTGAAAGAAATGTTTTATAATATAATTTATTTGTATACTATTTCAGAAATAATGTCGGTTTTAGCGGTGTTCATTGGCTATTCACACAACTTTAATGGAGTTTGAATCTCAGAAGCATAACAGCGACATAAGGCAAAGAACACAACAATAAACCAAATAAATGTTGAAAAAACAATGAAAATTGATTCGAACGTGACACAAAGAAATACCACTGACGTCATTTAGTTTATACAAATTTATTTTGGCAGAGCTGTTTTGCGACCCGTCTTTGCTCAATACAGTGTAGAGCGTTTTTGCAACCTTCGCCCAACGGCAATGAAGCGCGGAAACCATTCCGAATTTATTTTAGTTCATTGTTAGCTTAATGAAACACTATCGAATTCGTTCCATTGGAACCAATCAATATTAAGCAATGGATGTAAAGTTACTCGCTCATGGAAAACACAACGGGTTGCCGCTGACAGGGCTTGAACCCACGCGGTCAGCAATCCTTCGATTACTGGTCCGACGCGATAACCACTGTGCCACACAGCCAGCGGAAGTTACTTCCGCTCTGCTGGGTTGACATATTTGACTGTTTATAGACAGTTATTTAACAATGAATAACTATCCTCTCCGTATATTAGTATTACTCTAAAATCATGTTAGAATTGTAATTGAATAAATTGTAACTGAATAAATTGTAACTCTGAATAAATTGTAACTGAATAAATTGTAACTGAATACAACAGCGTCAGTTCAGTCACTATACGTACAATCATTCTATTTATAACAACAAAAACTAGGAGAATGGCCCTTCAATGTAGACAGGTTACCTTTATTCACAGTTTTGATGCATCGCATTGCAAACGTTAAGCATGGTCTCTATATGCGATTGATCTCTGTATTCATAGTTGATTGTATTCGAATTAAAATTATTTGACCGAAGTACAAATGTGTTTTTGTTGTCAGTAAGTGAATAACTCTAGCCTGCTCAGTTCTGTTCTTTAAACTTACAACATATAAGTTTGTTTGCCCTTATAAATACTAGCTGACTACATAGTTAGTAAACTTGCTCACATTAATTACAAGAGTTGATTATTTAAAAAAAAACCAATTTCATTGTGGACTACTTTTTATACCATGTATACTTTTTACCTTTTTGGCAGTTTTCTTCTTTATTTTTCCTATCCAGGTTAGGCCATCCTGGAATACTTCCACCAAGGGAGTGAACTATTGCACATAGAAAATAACCATCGTTCCAGTCAGTCTGAAAAAAAAGCAGAAGACATTAAAACATCATTGATTATCCTCCCCTGATTGAGCTTCACGTGACTCGCGAAAGAAAATTAGAGGAATTCGGTTCAGTTCCTTAAAATTGCATGTATAACATTCAAGTTACTTTTTTATGAGGAGGCATACTCTGAAACAATTATTCCAATGAAAATGTTGACAACATTTAAGAATTATAGAAAAACAAAAAATGAAAGAAAAAAAGGTAAAAAAAGTTGTAATAAACGACATTTAAAACACATGGTTTTGTATCAGAATACCTATAGACAAATGAATTGTTACAAGTTTGTGGAATGAAAAATTATGCAAAGTTAACGAGATTTGAATTTAATCATCTTCTCTAAATGGTTTTCCAATTACTTATATATGCAACATTGTAAACATGAAGTAGGATGCATTATGCTAAAACTTATAATGCTGTTTCAACGTAATATCATATTTTATATAATAATTCTATATAATACCCCACCCAGTCACATTATAGTGACGCAGACGACAAAGTCTCGCAGACGACAATTTCAAGAACAACCCTCTATTGCTAAGTAGCAGCAAACAAAAGAAGGGCGCTTGTACCATAATGGCCTTTGATCAATCTGATTAAAATCTGCTCTAAATAACGCTCCAGTAAGAAATAAGTAGATCTGAACTTTAGTCAGATTGGTCTTTGGTATGTTCAGTATGGTCGAACCATGAGACCTAAATCGTTACTGCGGGCCACACCACTATCATGTTATATAATACGCTATAACTTATAAATATTTTTATTCTTACGATAGATTAGTTATATTTGTGGTCCTCAACTGTTTACATGCCCAGTTAAGGGTGTGATAGTAGCCCGGGGATTCGTGCTTTACAAAATATGATAAGTAAGTCATACTGGACAATTCATCGAGAGATGGATTTGCAAAATCTTCAGGACTAATAACACGTGGTACGTTCAGTTGTTCTTTCGCTATCACCATTGCTCGTCGGCAATTTTCAATCCTGAAGTACAAGACAGTATACAATTCATCCGATCAAACTTGATATTATCTATTTTTGGCAGAGATATAACACCTGTGGTTTGGATGACAAAAATATGTTAATAATGACACGTTTTGGTATTTTCCTTCTTTTTCCCATCTTAGTTTACAAATGGTCTTTGTCCTTTTACTAATTATATAAACAAGTTTAACCTGCCTGACATCCGGGTATTATTTTCGGATAGTTAATGTAATACTATTATCTATTACATGAACCATGTGGACAATTTGGGACACATTTTTTACCTTAATTAGCTCATGGTGTCATATTTAAAACTGCTTCAATAAGCAAATATTTATTTCCCGCCAAATCTCACATTGAGAAGATACAAATTATCGGCTGGTTAACTGATTCCTTAACCATTGGATGTTGTGGCAATTGACATCGCCTCTTCAATTTTATCCTGAAATCTTTTAACCTTACAATGGAAACTTTCAAATTTGACCATAACACAAAGTTGCAGTATTTTTACAATGTATAAAAATAATATCTCGATTTAAATACTTTAAGCACTTAACTGACCTGTTATTTCGGCTGAGTTTTCTCCAGTCCGGGGACGCTCCTGGTTTAAGATGGTCTATCAATGCACTGAAATGAATTACATTATTGTAAAACAAATAACAAACTATTTACCGGGGCTGAAATCTTACAAGACGGATATGAAACGATTCGGATGATACAGTTTCAGCAAGAAAACCCTATAATCTATGATTATATCAAAGTTTTCTTTTCCATATAAACAATATGACAAAATTTGATCAGAATTATTTAAATCATAGAACTTTTAAGTAGTTGAGTAATTAATTAGGAATGTGACTGCTTCGAGATGCAAATCTTTGAGAGTGTGTCTATATGCTTATTGCCTCATCAAATTTATGGTCGTTTAGTAACCTCATCGGAGGTACGGACCAAATTCATGAACGAATTTTATCGTTTGCATGCTGGGTAAATTGACGTCTGCTAAAAATGTCGTCTGCTTTATGTTTAAGTTTAATCATGAAAACCGGAAATATAGTCTGCATAACAAAGAGCTTAAAATTTGACCAAACGGGAAGTACTGGACTTCTCGTCTGGGTACCAGCAAGCCATCTGCCAATGATTTCATTATAATTTGGCTTTTTTTTCAGTAAGTATATTAAAAATAATATAGTATAAATTAAAAACTTACTGTAACGCTACACCGTAAGGATTTTCATTATAATGCTCTGACAATAGGATTACGGCTAATGAATAAGAAGAGAGCAAGAACTTACTTGTAACGCTACACCGTCGTTCCAGTCTGTGGTAAAATTTGTGACATCTAATTCCGGAAGTAATGATCGGAACCAAATTGTCATTAATTTCTTAGGTGGCGCTTTTGATTTCTTTCCGGAAATCTGGTACCTTTGTACCAAACTCCAGATAAGTCCATAAATGATTTTAATGTTTCCATTGACAATATCGTCCCCGCCTGAAAAAAGGACATATAAATATTTAAAGCGTAATCAAACATGCAAATTCAATGAGTGTTAAACCTGTGAAATTGCGTAATGAATTATCAAAATTAAAAAAAGAGAGTTTCAAACAACGGTATAAGAGCGTGGTCAGATTGCAAGGAAGTGCAACCTGGCCTAGCTCTTTACTGATGGCAGAGGCCAATCACGTTTGGTTCCTGCAAGTTAAGGCTTTAAGCCTTAAATCAAAACAAGGGAACGTATCCACGCCTTCTTTACACCTTGTTTTCAATATGGTCTGACAAGATTAATGACTATAAAATATAGTGCAAATGTTGCTAATTATGTTAATATTCATCATGTTTCATGTCTACTGGTCAGGGGGCGTCCGTGGCCGAGTGGTTAAGGTCGTTGACTTCAAACCACTTGCCCCTCACCGCTGTGGGTTCGAATCCCGACAGGGGGACTTTGGATTTCTTTCATGTGAGGAAGCTATCCAGCTAGCTTACGGAACGTCGGTGGGTTCTACTCAGGTGCCCGTTCGTGCCCTGAAATAATGCACGGACGGGCACCTGAGGTCTTCCTCCACCCAGTAAAGCTGGAACGTCGCGATATGACCTATAATGTGTCGATGTGACGTAAAAACCCAAAACAAACAATGTCTACTGGTAATCAAGTATGTTCTAAATTGTTACGGACCCAGTGAGATGTACGCGAGTCACCATATTGTTATCTCCTCAAAATGGCGTGACGGTAACGAGTGCCTAACACCGTGTCACATGACAAAAAAATGTACCACGATAGGATTTACGAAAACTGTCGGAAGAAGGCGGAAGCCCTTTCGGTTTGTTTACAACTACACAAAAACAGTCAATATTTACTGCTTCATTAGAGTTTGTAATCCTAAAATTTTGTCTAAATTCCTGACGGATGTTGTAAATTTTGTCTAAATTCCTGACGGATGTAGTAACTTTTTTTCTAAATTCCTGACGGATGTTGTAATTTTGTCTAAATTCCTGACGGATTTTGTTAACTACGTGTAAAACCCAACTAGATATAAATACATGTAAAAGAACATAGAAGTGGCATATTTTCAACTATTTTGTTTCGACTATCAAGTAGCCTGGACACATATTTTAAGGCATTGACCCATGATTGCTATGAATTTTAAGCCAAATGTTCTATGGCGACCTAGCTTTACTGGTTAAGGGGGACCGTGATTAT